TGAGACTAAATGACAACACAGTGAGAGGTGCATGTGCAATGACAAGGTGTTGAGTGGGTGAAAGGGAACCTCTTCTGTCGACCCTAGAACTGGGGAGCAGGGCCGATCTGAGCACTAGGGAGGGCTACCATGAAGCCAGCCACAAGTGGGCCCCAAGGCCTGTCCTGGGAGTCATAAGAGACAGACCTGGCTGTACGGTATTCATGCCCTCCCTGTTCCAGGCTCCAAAAGTAAACAGTGGGGAAGGGGAGGCACTGCCAGGGTGGGGGGAGCTGTGGGCTTTTCCTGCCCTCCCTGTCCCTCTGTTCCCCAGCTCGAAAGCTGACAAGGGTGGCTTCCCCTCGCCTCACTCGCAAAGATGGGCACCTCCCCTGAAAGGGAGACTGGCACCATTTTCTTTCTGACATTGGCTTAGCCAGGGGACTTGTGCGTCTGCTTTCTAGTTTTCCAATCAGAGAAGAAATGCAGAGGTGGCATGCAGAGAGAAGGAACGTGGGGACTCTGCATTCTGAGCCCTCCAGGTGGCACATGGACATGAGGCCAAAGGTGCCTGCTTTGCCTCTGTCTGACACACCAACGTCCACTCAGCATATCTCTGCCCACGGATCTATGGCCACCAGGTTCCTCTCCACTCATGTCCACAGGGCAAGCCGGGGTGCCCAGGACATTCCAGCTCCTGGGAGCATCTGAACCCACACCTGGTGGGAACTGGTGAACACCTGTCTGAGCTCCCTCTCCCTCTGTAGGCTACGCTGACCTTCCAGTAGGATTTAGCTTCTGTCACCCACAGTGGTCACCTGCTGGACAATGCACCCTTCACATGGTCCCATTGCCCTCCTTCCCTTCCCAATGAAACACATGCCCTCAATCTTTGTCATAACATCTGTTTCTGGGGAAGCCCAAGCTGGGATAACAGGTGACATTTCCGTGGCCACTGACTGGCTGGGACAGAGATGACACACTTGGACTCCACTTCCCAAGGCGCAGGGCTCAGAGTTCCAGCACCAAAGGTCTGAAAGGTTTTCCTTTGGAGACAGCCCGTCTCAGTTGGAAGCAGTTTTCAGAAACGTAAACACATCCAGCACTCCCCTGTGCAAATGTCACTTCTGACTAAACGCATTTTTCTCTTCCTCCACCAAATCAAATACTCCTCCTCAGCAGGCAGGCTGGCATTGTCACCCAAGATAAAATACCCAGACAAGATTCACAATGACCCCCATAAACTTGGGTCCGTGGCCCCATGACACATCGTTGGTCATGCATTGGACAAAGCCAGCACGCCAGGCCCTCAAGTGACCTGGGCGTGGCACCAGCCATGCGTCCTTGTGAAACCATCGCCAATCCAACCAGTAAGTGGCAGAGCCAAGTGTGAGACCCGAGTCTGTTCAGCCCCCCACCACCCTCGCGTCCTCAGAATGGAAGGCAGGGCTCACCTGCGCTGGACTCTCCTAGCACACTGGCTAACAGGCAGATCCCCAGGCCTCTCTGGCCTGAGGCTTGGGAAATAAGAATCAGACAGGCTGAGGTCTGAGAACCTCACAGCCACAGGTCCCAGTGAGCTGGCCCTTGAGAGAGGGAACTCTGTGGCAATAGAGATGCCACTCTGTTTGGCAGCCAGTTTACAGTCCTTCCCCTCCTCTTCCTGAAGCTGGACTTCAGTGCCCATGGGCTGCTCCTGGGCCTCAAAGACTCAGCCTTTCACTGTACCTCAAAGCTGACCACTGTCACCTCTACCTTACAGCACTCCCAAATCGTCACCACCTCTGCCCAAAGACACAGCAATGCTCTAACAGGTGCCATCCCTCCCTTTGTCTTTTGATCCCATTTTCTTACGAACATTTTCAAATACAAAAAAGCTGAAAGAATTGTACAGCCAACACCTTAGACACTTCACTCGCCTTCTACATGAACAGTTACTGATATTAAGAATTCCATAATTAGTTTTAAGATATGCTGTGCTTGCTAGGTTGCCTATCTATCCATCTGTAACTTTTTTGAATGCATTTCAAAGTAAATTGTACACTTTAGCACACACCCCTTTGTCTTGGTCCATTTGGGCTGCTAACAAAAATCCTATATACTAAAGCACTTATAAACAACAGTCTGAAGGCTGTGATGCCCAAAGGTGAAGGTGCTGGCAGATTTGGTGCCCAGTGCGAGCCTGTCTCTCACAGATGACACCTCCTTACTTCTGCTGCACCTGAGGAAGGCACAGGCAGCTCTCGGGGCTTCTTAAAAGGTCACTGATTCCGCTAGGGATGGGTCCGACTCACGACCTTATCACTCGGCAGGAGGTCCTGAGTCTCAATGCCAGCAGCTTGGGAGGGATTTCAACATATTAATTTGCTGGGCAGTGGGGGTGGGGGGCATTCAAAGACCACAGCACCCCTAAACATTCAATATGCAAATCATTAGCCAGAGTGTCTGCTTGTGGTGTTTTTTTTTAGATTACATTTATAAACAGTGAAGTGAACAGACCCTAAGGTCACTTGCTGAGCACTGACAAATGCACACGTGTCTTTCTTAATGCTCCCTGAGATTCCGTCAGGACCATGGACCTCTAAGCTCGCCACCACCCTTATCCTTCCTTCCAAAGCCATGTGATCACCTCAATGACCTGACTACATCCAGGATATTTTTATGGCTCACAAAAAGGGTGGGGGGGGGAGCTGATCAAAGAGATACGTCCACACCCAAGTTCATAGCAGCATTATTCACTGTAGCCAACAGGTGGGGGTAAGTCAAATGTCTATTGATGGAGAGATGAATGGGTAAGCAATGTGACAAAAATGCAAACACACAATGGAATATTATTCAGTCTTTAAAAAGGAAGAACGTGTTGATAGACACTACAGTGTGAATGTATCTTAAACCAATCTCAGGACAAAAGCTGGATGACTCCACTTGAGTGAGGTCCCTTAGAGCAGTCAAATTCACAGAGACAGAAAGCACTGAACACTGGGAAATGACGAAATGCAGGCTCGGATAGATGACATCCTCACCTAAGAATTGGGGTTGCCACTTACTGGGGATTTCCCACCCACCAGACCCTCTAACAAGGTGACCACACTAATGCCTGACCTCACACCTGGAGGGTGGCATTTACTACCTTCACTTCACCTGTGAGAAAGCACAGCTAGGAAGAGCGGGGAGGGGAGCTGGGCCCAAGGCAACTCTTCCTTCATCACCACAATGGCTCCCCACGGGAAGGCGATTCTGACCAGCCCAATAGTGGGCAAGTTCCTTTCCTCTGCGGTTCTCTGTGTCCCATCCCTGTGTGCACCAGGCCCTCCCAAAGGACAGGGAGGGAAGGAAGAGAGGGAATGAGGAAGAGAGAGAGAGAGAGAGAGAGAAGGGGAGGGCAAGTGACTGAAAAGGCAGCATTTGAGCAAAGCCCTAAAGGAAGTGATCGTGTGACATCAGAGTTCCTGTGTCACCTGGGTCTTCAAAGGAGGGTGACAAGATGGACTTTAGCTTGTCCAATCCATCTCCCACTCTCAACTGTAAGTTTCTAGCTGCCTGAACATAATTGATAACTCTTTGAAAACCCAGTGCTATCAGTCATTGCAGAAGACACACAGAAAGGCCTCAGCAGACGCTGATGGCACGGCCTGAGGGAAAACCACCCATAGGACAAGCCTATGGTGTGAGGCTGGGATTACGGCAAACGGTGCCAGCACCTGACCCACCCTTAAGCCTCATCCTGGCCACCTCAGCACGCTTGAGCCTGCCAGCCAGTTGCCGCCTCCTGTACTATTGTGCACTTGTGGCTATCAGAGCCACAACTTCAAGTGCCAGGGAATTACACTCACGACTCCCGTCGGTCGTCACTGGGCTGTCAAGAGGTGGTGTGTAAACAAATGGCCTGGCCTCTCCTCACCTCTGCCTGTGACTTGCATGAGCTCCCAGTTTCCCCCGCAGATGTAAGGACCAGTCATCTACCACCGTGGCTAGTGTCAATATGATCCTTTGTGAACTTCCAGCCCCTTCCACGGGTTTCCGCCAGGGTGTCACTAATAAGTGACATCTGCGAAATCTAAACACACACACTGACGGAGGAATATTTGCTCTGGTCTCATGTTTCAAACCTGCACCCTGAGGATGGGTGTGTAGCTCAGGGGCAGACAGTGTCCTCAGTATGCATGAGGGCCTCGGTTCCATCCCCAGCACTCAAAACCAAACAAAAAACCCCCAAATACGCAGTGGACCATGAACTCCTCCACCAGGAGAGCACCGCTTTGGGCGCACCTGGGGTGTTTGTGTAAAATAATTCTGTCTGCATCACGGTGGGTTGCTGTCGCCAGTATAAAGGGCCACAGGGCCTCCTACTGGCTGGCAGTTCCCTCCACACAGAGGTCCCCCACTCAGACAAGGGTCCCCAAAAGCCTACTGGAGGCCCCAGCTGGCCCAGGAGTGGCTTCTTCAGTAGGCAGTTGCGTCCCTCAGGCTGGCCAGTAGAAGGAATCCAATTGAACAGTTTGCCCAAGAAACATCCAAGCATCATCCACTTCTCTTGCCCTTTTTTTTTTTTTTTTTGTCCAAATCAATTTCTGAAAGTCAAAATGACTGATGGCTTTCTACCCTGGACAATTGTCCTCCTGATTAAGTAACTCTCGGCACAAGCAGCAAAAAAAACCTCCCAGAATGTGGTGGTTAGGTGTGATAAGAGGTCACAAAACTGCACAACACACATACACACACGTGCGAAAAACCACAATCTAGTGACCAATGTCTGATGTGGCACACATTCTCTGGGGCGTAACATGTCACACTTTGGGATGAAGACAACAGGAACTCTGCAAATTTTGCAACTTCTCCTGAGTCCAAAAAGTATTTCAAAATAAAAAGGTTGCTTCAGAATATTCCTTTCAATACTGGGTTTTGAACTCAGGGCTTCACACTGGCTAGGCAGGTGCTCTACCTCTTACACCACAGCCCCAAGAAAGAAAACAACCATTTTGAGAAGACCCCAGGAGGTGACATGGCAAACCTGTCCTTACCTGAGTACTGGGAATCAGAGCTTTCCACCAGTGACCGCCCTTCACCAGGTCCACGTCACACAAGGGCATGGAAACCTTTCCAATGACACAGTGGCGTGAGAACTTATCAAAGTCCACCACGGTCAGAAGCAGTGTCCTCCTCTGGGCTTCCAGGAAGGGGATGTCAAAGGTGTAGCGCTCCTCGAACACGGGTTTCTGGGTCTTGCGTTTGACCCCGGTCTGCTTGGAGTTTTTCTGGTCCGGCAGGAGGCAGATCTTGACATAGGGATTGGAGTGGGCCAGGTCCTGGCGGGAGCCATCGTGGGAGATGGGGGGCGGCAGGTCCCGGGCCTCGATCACCCTCACGGTGAGGTGATTGTGCAGCAGGTCATACTGCGTGCTGAAATGCAGCATGCCCAGCTGGTACCTGGACAAGATCTCCTCGTCCGTCAGGGAGTCCACATCGTCGCTGCTGGAGTCCAGGGAGTAGAGGCGGGGTTCAAACTTTCTGAAGTAATCGTCGGGGACATAGGTCCGTCGGGGCACCGAGGGCTGGATGGGCTCCTTCTTGGCGCTCAGAATGCCAAACTCAATGGGTTTGATGTCGATGAGGGGGGAGCTGGGGCGTCTTGAATCGAGACCTAAACAGGGGCCAGAAATAACCATGAGTACTGACTGCCACCTGGGCCACCTGGTGGCCTCTGTCACAGTTCGCAGTCTCATTGCAATCTCATGTTGTAATCCACACCAAAATGCTCTTCTCTTAGACTTGGAAATACAGTCATCCCCTGATCCATGGGGACCACTCCAGAGTTTCCCACGGATACCCAAGTCGTGTATAAGGGATGTCCCTTGTATAGTGTTTGCAGAGAACCTGGGACCATCCTTCCTGGGCTTTAACCAGCCAAGATTACTTACAATCCTCAAAGCTATGGAAATGGTTGTCAAACCATATTGTGTAGGGAATAAAGTGTCTATACTTGATCAGTACAGATGCATTTTTCCCCCAATATTTTTGATCTGTGGTTGGTTGACCCTCAGACACAGAGGTGACTGTGTTCTTACTTATTCTGAGAGAGGCAAAGCATCCAAGTCACTGTCACCATCATCCTCATAGCTAAGTGTCAGACGCTGTTCTAATGGATTGCATGTCCCAAGTCACATGATCATCACAACCCTCTCAATTATTAGATAATTATATGTCCCCACTTTACAGATGAGCTAACAAACTGCAAGGAACTTCCAATGGTCACCCACTGGCAAATGGAACCCATCCCTGGCTCCAACCCTACCCAGAGCAGCCTCCACTTCACCAGGGAGGACCTGAGACCCGCAATCCTGGGTCAAATCCAACTCAGCAAATTGTCTGTGAGCCCTGTGATTCTGGGTTCATGATTTAGACTCTTGGGACTCAGTTTCCCCATCTGTCAAATGGAGACTGTAAGGGCACCCACCCAACGATGGGGGTGAAGAGTCACTGAGCCAAATGTGCACAGAGTAAGCACTCAGCTGACAGTGGGCGTCACTCCCCAGCAATGGTCACATCCAAGCTTCACCGCTCGGGGGCTGTGTCGTCCCCTCTCCCATCAAAGGCAAGGTCATGGCTCCCAGGCTCTTCGCTCATATCTGCTTCTCTCTCTAGTCTAGCAATGAGCACAGGGCATTCTCGTTCATTACCCAAACTTCTGTACTCGGGAAACTGTGTGCTAAGTGTGTGTTCTGAGCTGCACACAGAACTTAAGAAGCATGGAGATCAGCCCCACCCGAGCCAGCAATGCAAGCCACATCGGTAAGTGACAGTGTCCTGGCAGCCACAACTCTTCAAATGTGCAAAGAAACAGGTGACATGAACTTGAGTCATTTATTTTATTTGATCTACCAGCTGAGGACCCCTAATCCGAAAACCTGAAATGCCCCACTCTTTGAAATTGTTTGGGCACAGGCAAGATTCCACAAGAAGGAAATCCCACACCTGCACTCACATGACGGCCACAGTTAAAGCACAGCTGCACGGAAAGTCTTGTATAAAATGACCTTCAGGTTACGTGTGCAAGATGCATCTGAAATACACATGAATTTCCTTTCAAGATTGGGGTCCGATCTCCAAGGCATTCAAATATTCCACAACCAAAATGTGGAGGCAAATATTCCAAAATCCCAAGTCTGAAACACTTCTGTCCCCAACACTCACTTTGATAAGGGAGGATCAGACTGTTGTCATTTCCACGTGAAACAATATAAAACATTTCATATGACCCTTTAAACCCCATTGTTTTCATGCTGTCCTCAAAGCTGGTGACCATTGTACTGGACAGCACAGGCCTGCAGCTGTCCATTTCACAGATGCAAAGACTGAGGCCTCCCTCCCCTTGGCCTCCCTAGCTCAAGCCCGTGAACTTTTCTTCCTCGTCTACTCCCAGAAACTCAGACACCAATGACATCCACCTGAGTGGACTTGCCTCCTGAACTTTCAGCTTTTTTCTATATTAAGAGAATCTCAGCTGTCAACTGGATGAGACAGCAGTGACACTTTTATGGGGTGATTAGAGTGAAGTCTTGGGGCTTTCTCCTGCTCACCCATATTGTGACATTTGGTCAATCACATGTGCCACACAACACAGTGGGTGGCCAAATTGACCCATATATACATTTTACTTTTTTATTTATACACCACCAGGTGTGGTGGTGTACACCTGTAATCCCAGCTACTCAGGAGGTGAATATAGGAGGATCACAACAGATCAGTCCCTGCAAAAATAACTAAGAATAACTAAAGCAAAAAGGGCTGGGGGCATAGCTCTAGTGGTACAGTGCCTGCCTTAGCAAGTGCAAGGGCCTGAGTTCAAAATACCCAGTACCACAAAACAAAACAAAACAAAAAAAAAAAAAGGGAGGGAGTTTCATCGTATGCAATCTAAGATTGTCAGTTTCAGTTTCTGTTTAGAAAGCTCAGGCCACACTGGGCCCTGATCCCACAACTTTCAGGACATTGGGGTTCCAGTTGGCCCCAGACCCCACTCTGCCCTAGTATCTGCACACAGAGCTGCAATTCTGCACTGCAAGAGGACGACCTTTCGCTCTATCCAGTCAGTGACAGCCCCAGGGACCCTGTGGTCACTTGATTAGCAAGGCCTGCTGTACACTGAGGTCACAGTCTCCCTTCAGGATCTGAACCAATAAGCACAACCATGTCAATCAAGTCGGCCAATTCAATCCCACTTGTGATCAACAAAAGCAAAAAATTAAAGTGATCACTTTTGGCCGAACTCAGCAGAAATCCGGGTAGGTGTGACACACTCCTCTGTCATGCTGTCATTACACCTGGGTCACCCTGTCCCCTAGACTGTCACCCCACTCCACCTCCTCCCCAGCAACTGCTCTGCCTTTCATGTCTTTGGGTGGGGACGCTTCTTGGTGTCTGGGACAACCAGCAGGGCCCCAGCAGAATGACTCACTGGAAATCCTCCGAGTCAGGCTGTACGTGGACTTGGATGTGTCTGAGGACAAGCGCCTCCCATCCGGGGAGTTGGTCCGTGGGGTCAGCGGGATGTCACTGGCTGTGTGGACAGAGTCACCATCCTTGTCACTGCTCCGGCTGGCCACCCTACAGGAGGGGAAGAGGTCTCAAGGGCTGTCAAGGAATCCCCACCTGGGACACATTTGTGTCCCCACATCCCCACAGCTATCTGCAAGCTACACCTCTCAAGGCCAGGTCAGGAGACCAGCAAGGACTCAGGCTGACTATGGAGACTGACCTCGGGGCGTGGGACCCACGAAGACATCGCTGTCAGGTGCTTTTTATGTAATGTAGAATAAAGCGAACTTGAGATGGCGTGGTGTCCTGAAATTCCACAATGCCTTGCTTTGCTCACGAAACATGCAATGTTAAGAAAGGGTGTTCTCCAACTTAGAACACTCTCTGTCAAGAATTGACACAACCTCAGGCTGGCTGTGATGTCCCACACCTGTAATCCCAGTTACACAGGAGGCAGAGATAGGAGAATCAAGATTTGAGGCCCACTCAGGCAAAGAGTTAGCAAGATCCTTTCTTAAAGAACAAGCCAGGAGCCAGGCACTGGTGGCTCACGCCTGTAATCCTAGCTACTCAGGAGGCAGAGATCAGGAGGATCACAGTTCAAAGCCAGCCCAGGCAAAATGTTAACAAGACTCCATCTTAAAGGACAAGCCAGGTGTGGTGGTACACGCCTGTTAGCCCAGCTACACAGGAGGCAGAGTTAGAGGACTGTGGTATGAGGCTGACCTCAGGCAAAAGCACACAACCCTACTTGGAAAACAACTGAAACAGAGAAGGCTGGGTCGTGGCTCAAGTGGTACAGTGTCTGCCTAGCAAGCGCGAGGCCAAGTTCAAACGCCAGTACTGCCAAGGGAGAGAAAAAAGAATTGCTGTTATTTCAAAGCTGGAGTTGGGGTGTGTAGATTCAGGCTACTGCCACATGGGGGCGCCGCTGTGGCTAACTGAAGACAACCCTGTTGATCTTCAGTCTGAGCCACCTTGTGTAGATGCATCCAAAGTCCTGCAGGTGGCTTTGGGGGACAAATGTCCAGCTATTTCAACAGTCACTGTGTCTGTAACTTAGCACCTTTATAAATATATATATTCTGTAAGAATGTCACTCCAGGGGGCTTCTGAGTGACAGGGCCACAGCTACAAAATTGCTCTAAAATTTAATGATTTTGAGAACAGAAGCCCCCAGGGAAGACAAGATGTGGCTGGTGCCTGTGGCTCACGCCTATAATCCTAGCTACTTGGGAGGCGGAGATAGGGAGGATTGTGGTTTGAGGTCAAATAGTTTGCATGACCCCATCTTCAAAATAACCAGAGCAAAATGAACTGGAGCAGTAGAGTGTCCGCTTTGTGAGCACAAAGCCCTGAGTTCAAACCCTGGTCCCACCAAAATAATAATTAAAAAAAAAAAAAGGATGAGGAATGCTAAGAGACTGGGAGGGCAAAGATGATACAAGGCAGCAATTAAAAGCACGATCTCTGGGTTGGAACCCTGGCTGGGTGACCTTGGGCGAGTCCCTTGCCCTCTCTGTGTAAAGTGGGGATAATCACAGTGCACCTGTGTGGCTGCTGTACACACAGACTGAGTTAACTCACAGAACCGTACTTGGCACAAAGCAGGTAGGTGCTTAGTATATTTTAGCTGATATTATAACAACAAGCCGAGCGTGGCAGCACACTCTGTAATCCCAGCACTCGGGAAGCTGAGGCAGGAGGATCCTGAGTTTGAGGGCAGCCTGGGCTACACAGTGAGGCCTGTCTCAAAAAAAAAAAAACTGGAAAAAAAAAAAAAGACAAGACAAGAAAACCCCGATACTCATCAGGTGGGCGGGGAAGGAGGGAAGGCAAGTGCACCTCTGCCATAATGGCTGCGTATTTCTGCCTTCCTAGCCTGCATCCACTCGCCTTGACATTTCAGCCTGCAGGGTAATGCGGCTTGAAAAATGCAAGCTTTGATCCTATAAGGTCTTCAGATTCATTTTATGCATGGAATGAGTCACAGCTGATGGGATTCCAAGGCGATCAAAGGGTCACAGGCAGGGCAGACTCGGCTGTCATAAGGCAGAAGTGAAGTATTTGCTCTCTTGCTGCTGCTAGTCTGAAAAGGTGTAGTCACCTCCTCTCATGAGGTCCCTCCCCCCAGCCTTCAAGGGACAGTCTCAATGCCATCTCTGTCTAGAGCCTCTCAGACACAATCGCTGTGTCTGCCCAGGGCCATCCCACATCTGCAGCCCCCAGGCCTCTGTGCCCTGCCCCAGGCTGCCACACCACTCTGTTGCCTCCACCATAATGCTCTTCCAGCCCCTCCCTGCTCCCATCTGGCTCCTCACATTCAGACGCCTGTCCTGTCCTGGTCACTCTGCCCAGCCTCCTGTCCCTGTGCCTTTCTCTCCCTCCTCAATAGGCACACGCTCACCCTCAGTTGTGGCCCACTGGCTGGCCTTCTGCATGTGACACTGGGTCTCACTCAGTGCACCAGGGACAGTCCCTGCCCAGCATGGTGGAGGGGCACCTGTGACCCCAGTGAATGAAGGAATTTAGGGAGGGAGGGAGGGAGGCAGGGAAGAAGGCGTCCTTCTTGTGGGGCTTATAGGATTCATTCCGTGTCACAGTTATCTGCGTGCACGTCTTGTGAGCCCTCACGACAGGACACACTTCTGAGTGGTGGCGTTTACTGTGATCTGAGGTACCAGGCACTGAGCACCCACGATAAGCCAGGCACTGTGCCCCATGTGCACGACCTCACTTCACCTTCCAAGAAACCCAGGGGTTGGTGGCTAAGAGCTCCCCTCCCTCCCAGATGGGAACCAGAGGAGGGATAGAGACCAGTGGTGCGCCATCACCAGCTGGCATGCCCTAAGAACTGTGTGCACAGTAGGTGCTACTGGCAGCACCCAAAGACAGCCAATCAGATCGCACAATTTCCCTGTCACTCAATACCCCCCTACACCCCTTGCCCTTGCCCCAGCCAGCCAAGGGAAGCTCAGGTGTCCCTAGAAAGCCAGCACGGGTGACGTGCTGTGGCCCCCTGTGATTGCACACAAAGGACTGGGGCACCTGCCACTCCACAGCGCTGTGCCCCGTGGTTCTTGGTTCAGAAGTCGCAGTGGAAACAGGTCATGAAGTCGCACACTTGACATTCACCCTCACCAACCCAGCCTGTTAGAGAACATGCATTCGCCCGGGGAAATGAGTCTGCGGCAAACACGAGCTGCAAATTTGCCTTTTTGAATGGCTTAACCGCCTTCCCTTTTCAGACTTCTCCTGCCTTATGTCGAGTGCCAAAAATGAATTACGCGCTGCTCAGCACTCAGGATAAAACCTGGCTCGGGGAGGCAGCGGGGCCAGATGCACACAGCTGTTCACGTTAAAGATACACAACTCTGTTACTGCCATTCATAGTGACCACTGCGCGAATGGTACCACTTGGAGACGGGTATTGTGGTGGTCCAGGTAGGAGTTGTCATCCATTTCTCTGCTTGTGGCAAAACCAAAAGAAGTATCTCTCCAGACTGCCAAATCCCATCCCCCCTCCCCAAAAAGAATCCCCTATTTTCACAAAGGGTCAGCAGTCAAGACAAGACAGGACTGTCCTCAGCTCAGTGTTAGACAGAGGCTGTGAGTCTGTGACACTCGACTTCAGGGCTCTGGGGCAAATGGGTACCTGATTATAACTTGGGGGGGTTCTCCACAGGGTCAGAATCCAACTTCCATCACTGACATTCAAGATCCTGCATGGTGTGAGCTTGAGGCTCACTTCCCACGAATCCCAACCTTCCCCAATGTAGTACCCACGCCTGACCTCTCCCCATGGGGGTTCCCTCCCTCCTGTCTGGTCTTCTGCTTTGGGGCCTGCAGATCACACAGCCATGTCCACTGCCCGGCTTTGGCTCTGTAAATGGCTCGTCCCTGGAACTCAGCCACGCCTCTTCATTTCCCTCTGTCTATGGCTGCTGTCACACCACTGCAACAGGGTGAGTAGCTGTCACCAAGGACAGGCTGCCCAGGAGGTTAAAGCATTTACTCTTGGGCCCTGTGCAGAAGAAGCTGGCCAGTGCTCGGGCTGCAAGCTGAGTCCCCGTGGTTCAGGTGGGAAGGGGCAGCCCGGCATGACAGTGACACTTGCCCCATTTCCCCAGGGAAAGTGGTTGGGACAAGTGACCAGCACAGAATGGGAACCAGGCCAATGACAGTCTTTCCTGGTTGTTGTTTTTCTGCAAAGATTATCAAATACAAATCTAGAAAGAGCAAGCTTAAGAATGAGGCCAAATCAGAAAAAAACAGGGGGGAGATAGATAGAGAGAGAGAGAGAGAGAGAGAGAGAGAGAGAGACAGAGAGAGACTATGAACATTGGCCCCTGGATCAGCCATGCTGGAAGAGCCATTATTTTTCTGTAACAAGACCCTATGCTGGTTTGTCACACATGGCGTGCAGGGTGTGAATCCTGGGGAGGTGGGAGACAACTAGACTTCCATCCCTGTCTTATGTTCTGTACGAAATGTAAGAGCCCCTGAGCATGGTAACAGACCACATCTAGCCTTGTGCAGACTACTGTGCCTGGCACACAGTGTGTCTTCAAGCAACAATTATGGAAGAAATCAAGATGAACCTTTCAACAGGACAAGTAGCACTTTCAGAATTCAAGTAGGAACCACCTCTTGATTAGTGAGTTGGTGTTCCCAAATGTCTCAGCTTTATGCACACCTGTCAGGATTCAGGTTACAACTTGTGAATAATGCAAAAAAAAGGGCTCCTGGTGAAGACCAAATTGTGACAGAAATGACTTACAGAGCTCTTGCAATTATTGTGACAAGTGCCTTACGTGCATATTTCATTTATTTTGCTTTATCTTAGTTTTTGAGACAGGGTCTCGATATGCAGCCTAGGTTGGCCTCAAACTCATGATCCTCCTGCCTCTGCCTCCTGAGGGATGGGATTACAGACGTGTGCTGCCATACCCAGTGTTCATCAGTTATTGTTAACTATGGCCCTATAAGCTCTTTTGCTATTCCTGTCTCCACATGAGAAAACTGAGACTAAAATAGAGTAGAAAGACTAATTTATGTGTATGATCACAGGTCTCAAGCATTCTTAAATCCTTTCCACCTACAAGCTTAATTAATTCCTGCAGCGACCCTGAGATAAAGCCTATTTTTATCATCCCATTGTACAGATAAGAAATCAAGGCACAAAGAGATCCACCAACTTGCCCAGGTTCACAGAAGTAGACAACTGTAATAGAACTAGGACTTGAATTCATAGCCTGATGGACAGCCTCTTGACCCTCAAAGAATTGGTTCTTGCTTCCTGGAAGCCAAAATGAGAGTTCTGTGGCCTGAACCCAAGACGGAGTGGGAAAGATGGGTGCCAGAGGTTTCGGTACCCTCACCCCAAGGATTTAGCTGAGACAGCCCGGGCACCAGCCTGGGGCGTTGCCATGCGCCCTGCACTATCTCCTCTCTGGGCCTCCTCTGTTGACTTCACTTGAAAATGAGGCCCTGGCCTCTCTGCCTCTCCCTGCTATCTGACCACGTCCCTCTCCCAGCCACAGAGAGGGGGACAGGACACGTGGTTAAGAAGCTTGAAAACTGTGTTCCCAAAATATCCGAGGGACTAGCAGATGGAGACTTTGCGTGCAGGCGCGGGAGGGGAGCGACTTAGGAATCAAAGACAAGATGCCAACGAGACTATAAGCAGTGCTGGAGGATGGATGGATGGACGGATGGATGGATGGATGGAGCCTGGGGATTCTTCCTTGCTTCTTTCTGTCTGCAGCTCTTGCTCGAACCGGCAGAAAGGCACTGTCCATCTGTGCCATCCACCCATCCATGCAACAGGGCCAGGGCTGGGTGTTAGGACAACTGGTAAACCCTTGGTCATCCTTGGGAGGAGATAGGTACCCACGGGTCTCTTTTGCCATTTGGAATGACACTGGTGACTACAGGTATCACACAACTCACATCTCAGAAGTCTAGTGGGAAATTCTCAGAACTATTCACAGCCAGCTGGTCTCACCAGCTTGCCAAACAAAACGAGGAGCCCAGACACATTCCTATCCATAGCCAAGACGCTCTGGAAACTCAGCCTCCCCTCTCTCCCTCCCCCAGTCCTCCCTCCCATAGTGGCCTGGATCCCCAATTCTGAAAAGAGAGCTAAGAAGGGTTTAGAGGTTGGTGTCAAAGCCAGTACTCACAGCCAAGGAGGCGTCTGGGCCGGGAAAGGCCCCAGAATTTCAACTTCATCCTCACTGGACTGACAACAGCTGGACTCATAGCACTTGTGACAGCAGTGCCGCCAGGACCACCCGCACAGCAGCAGATCAGAGACTCTAGAAAGAAAACCCTGAGGCCATTGGGGGAGGTGGGCAAGGGGAAGGGGCAGGGGGAGGTGGTGAGGAGGAGGGGAGAGGAAGAGGAGAAACAACACCCAAAATTACAAGCAGCTGATCCCTGAAGACAAACAGACATTCTGAGTTCTGTGTCCACTGCTGGGCATTTAGGACAAAATGTTTGCCATCTCTGTTCGCCCACTACAGGTACAGGGATGCCAGCGATCACCCTGCTGGAGCCAGTGAGAGCCAGCAAAACATTTGCAGGTATTCCTTGTGGAGTTTACGTGAATGCCTTCCTTGACAGGTGGCCAGTTTCTACAACATGGTACAGGCTAGACAATATGTTCTCCAGTCACAGTGCATACATATGACTTCTTGCAAGCAGAGAAAGATGTTTCAAGAACAATCATCCCAATGCCATGAAAGCAAAGGGATGGTGACATGGAACGGGTCAGGGTGAGGAGGGACAACTGGGGAATCATTTAGTGTTCCTTTAATCAAGACCTCCTCTCAGAAGAAAGGAGAAAAACAGTCTAACAACATCTGGTTATGGTTTAATATTCAGAATCAATCCCAGCCTCCCAAATGAAAGGCAAGCAATTTTTGATTAAAGACTAGATAATAAAACACATCATCCAATTAACCCACCTCGTTTAATGGTTCCAACTGTGCTTTTAGATAGCCACGGTGAAGCCATGGGGTGGAAGGGGGTGACGAGGTGAGAGAGAGAGAAAGGAAAAGAGAGAGAGAGAGAGAGAGAGCAGTTAAGCAATATCCCAGCAACTCGAATTGCAAAACCAAGCAAAAGCCCCAAGCCTCTTTGCACTCACCATCCTGGGCAGGAGGCTGACTTGCTAACCAGGTATTGCTAGTCTCAGGACTGCGGGGCGCCTCTTGGTTAACTAACACGGAGTGAACGGGAAACTGGAGCATTTCGATTTGATTTGCACCGTGTGCTGTTATGAATCAGAGCCGGTGGATAGTCATGCTAGCCAACGCAGCCAGCCTTTGGGGGAATCGCAAACCTTCCTATACAGAAATAGCCATGAAGCCAACCCAAAAGGAGACAATTAGCTAGTGCACAGGCAAGCTCCCCGCCCTCCTGGAGGACCTGCTTCCAATCCAGCACTGATGGTGATGGGGGGAGTTTCATGTGGCCACCCACTAACGGGGGACTGGAAAGGAAGCCATGAGCTGGTCTTCCAGAGGGGGGGGACCTCCCTCCTCTTTTTTAGCCCCACCCCTACCCCATCTTTTTCTCCCTCCTTCTCTTACAGACAAATGGCTGTTCAAGTAGGCAGGTTAGGAGTCCTGTATCCCACCCGAGGGTGTGTCCCAGAGATGGACGAGGTGGGGTTCAAACTCAGAATTTTGCAGTCAAGAGGGAGAAGTTATTGCCATTTTCAGTTCTCTTGCAAAGAGGAGTGGCCCCGTGGCATGTCCACTCTTTCAGACCCTGTCCATTCTCACCATTTCTTTTAAACAAAGCAAGCAGAGCCCAGCCCAGCACCTGCCCCATACAGCCAGGACTTAATGACACAGCATCACCCCCCTTGTGTTTCTCTTCCTGGCTGCCTTCTGCCCTGTCATGTGAACCTGGCTGCCTATTTCGGTGCTGACATGAAGTATGCTTTTTTTCTTTTAAGGCAAGCACTCTATCACTTGAGCCACGCCCCCAGCCACAAAGCATCTTTTTTCATAGGACTTTTTAAAGTTGTTTTTTTAATGAGTCCATGTATAGAAAAACAATCAGTTAATAATAGTGCAAGTTGATACCATTATTAACTAAGATGCAAAATCCTCAAAATGGTAAGGGAGTAATTGCAACTTGGGAAATAGCCAAAGGCACTAATCATAAATTCCTCCAAAATCAGAACTCAGAGCACACACAGAATAAGATCTGAGGGTGCTCCAAGGTTGTCAAGATGCACTGGAACCTACTACGTTCTTAGCACAAAGCTGGGTCCTCTTGGGGCTTGCAGGAAAAAGTGATCTAAAGCATTTCCTATACACTGGGCACAGTGGTACACACCTGTAGTCCCAGCTACTCAGAGGGCGGGGGTAGGAAAATCTGCATCCAAGAACCTCAGCAAAAGTGAGAGAACATAGCTAAAAAATAAACTAAACTCAAAAGGACTGTAGGCATGGCTCAAATGGTAGAGTGCTTGCCTAGCAAGTGTGAGGCCCTGAGTTCAAATCCCACTACCACCAAAACCCTTTTTGTAATATATAAAGGGTGCTTTCCACAATAATACAGGCCCCTTCAGGGAAGCGCTCCCTGGACATGGGGTAGCAAAAAGAGAACACCACTTACAAAGGCCAGCTCAGAGCAGCCATCTCCAGAAACGAGGTCACCAGAAGCCCAAGTACAAGAATCATGTCTGGGAGCAAGCAAAGGGGACGGGGACATGCCCTGAGGCCCCGGGGTCGCTAACTCCTTCCTCACACCTGGGGAAGCTGGACACCCCAGAGCACAGATTCCAGCTGAAAAGCAAGAGGAGGAACACAGTGCTCGAACACCAAACCCAGCCCCAGGGCCTCTTTCTGCACAGCCCTCCAGCTAAGAGAGACGGCTGAAATGAACTCGAAAGATTAGTACAGCTTGACAATGTCGTGAGGGCTGGGCAGTATGTCTCCAAACGCAACCTACAGCAAAGTGCATAAAATTCAATTTCAGTGTCCACAACAAATAAAGTTTTATTGGCACACAGCCATGCCCACTCATTTATAATGGTCTCTAGGTGTTTTAGCCCTGCAGAGTTGTGACAGGGACCACATGGACTTTGGAGAAAAAAAATATGGAGAAAAAAATATATTTATTACCTGGCACTTTTCAGAAAAAGTTCAACAACTTGTTCTAGAAGGAAAGCCAGCATCATGGAGCTATCTATATATGAGACACTGTATGCCCCAAACATTTCCCCCTACCCTGAATTTTAGATCCGCTTGACATCTCAGCAACTGTGTGGCCTTGGACAAGTTACTTAACTTCTCTGTGCTGAAAGCGGTCACTGAGAAGAATAGAAGCTTGTTTTAGTGTTCCGTGCTCGCAGATTGCACATTCAGAGGGGTAGAGATTGCACCTTTGTATCCCCCATAATGTCACATAGTTAGTGGCCACCCAGGTGTCTGTTGAACAACTATTGAGAGTCCTCCAACAACATTCAACACAGTATATGCACAGAGAATGTGACCTTCGTTGAACCTTAAATGAAGACCTAGGGATTCCATGAAAAGAAAATCAAGCAGGGAATCTAAGCCAGAAGCGGGGAAGGGGGCACTCTGCCAGGTCCTGACTGCTGGAAGTCGGAAGAGGAGATGAAGAGATGTGTGATCCAGAGGGGAGCTAGGGGACCAGCAGCCCCCAGCTGAGGATGAGGGGACAAGCTGTGAGTCCCTAGACATGGAACCTGTTGGCTTCGCTGCCCGGCTCAAAGCAGACATCTCCAGAAGCAAGCGCATGGGTCTGACTGCGGGGCTGACTGTGACCTTGGCGCTGACCTGTCGCCACTTCCCTCCTTGCAGAGGAAAAAGGTCTCTTCGCTAAGCAGCCCAGCCCATCCCCGCCTCCCCACCCCCCTCCCCAAAGAAAGGTGCTTATAAATTAATTCAGCCCAGATTCTTGGGGGAGCTGGAGGGAGCGATGGGGGTGGCGTGTCCCCAACTCACAGACCCCAACGCAACGGACTAAAGTAACCGGCTCTGCCACTCAGTGCGCTCTTGGCCTGTGGGTATCCCCCACCCCTCCGCACCCTGTGCCCGGGAGAAACGACGTCCTTGTCCGTCCTGGCCGGAACAGCTGCCTCCAGCTCGCTCCACCGGCCAATTAGCCGGAGCCGTCACCACGGCAACGGCAGCTGGCGGGCCGGGCGCCTGGCGCACCCCAGCCGCCCTCCCTTTCCCGCGGCCCCTCCCTTCGGGTGGGGTGCACAGAGGAGGGGGCAGGGGGGACAAAAGTCCGCCCCACCCCCATCCCCTCCCCGGGAGGAGAGGGCACGCGTGCAGAGCCCACTCCGGCCCTCCAGCCTGGGTTTGGGGGTCCCCCTGCCTTGTCCTCCCGGGGCGCACGGCCGCGGCTGCACAGTGCCTGCGCTTGGCACCCTTTTCCTCCAGGCAAGTTTGTGGAAGCCGGGCCGGACGCCCTCTTCCCTTGCGCGCTCTTGGCGGGAGGGGGCGCGTCCCCCCCGCCTCCCCCGGGACCTCGCCCCCAGCCCCAGCCCTTACCTGGATGTACGCCATCTTCGCCCGCGCACTCACTCCGGCCCGGGCATGGCGCCGCCACGGCCACTTTGCCCTCGCCGACCGAGGAGGGGGCAGACAGCAATGGGGGAAAGGAAGCAAAAGACCGCCGGGTGGCCCCAGACGTGACTGGCGTGGCTGATGAGCTGCGCTCGCCCCTCCACCGGCCGCCCCGTCCTTCCTCTCCCTGCGCGCTGGCACCGGGAGTCGGGGCCACCTCCCCGGATCGCAGGGCTTGGGCGCCCTGGGTCCCCCGCCTCGGTGTCCCTAGCGAAACTGTGCTCCACCCCCACTCCAGGGACGTTCCCCAAGCTGCAATAAGGCCGGGGCGCCTGGGCAGAGAGCCCGGGGCAGCCGCGGGGACTGCGGCGACCCCGGCGCAGGCGGGGCCGGCGACGCTGGGGCCAGAGCACGCGGGAGGCGGGGGAGGGGACGGGGACCCAGGAAGGGGTGGGCGGAGGCGGCGCACAGGTCAGCCCAGCTGGCAGGCACAGAGACTGACACCGACCGACAGCAGAGCCCCTGGGGCGCCCGTGCAGCCGAGGTGGCCCAGGCCAGCCCGCTTTGGTGGCCAAAGCTGGGCGTGTCCTCGCCATACTGCCCTCTCCCCAAGCCGCCCAGGAAAAACTTTATTCCCGCGCCACTCGGCGCGCCTAGAACGGTGGCGGCCAAGTATGCCAAGGCTGATTGAGTCGGGGCTCCAAGTTAAGGTGAGTCTAGGGCGTCCCGAGGGAGGTATCACTGCGAGGGGCTGCAGGGGCGCGCACCCCCCAGTGTCCCTTTACCCTGCACCTGCCAGACCTGCGCCCTAGGCGCAACAGGTCTAGTGCGGGGCGGGGCGGCAGCGCCACCCAGCGGCATGCCAGGCCCTGTGCGCGCCTGTGCCCGCCGGCAGTTAGCCTGCCAGCGTGCGCCCTGGGGCGTGTCCACCGCGAGTCCTCAGCCTGCCCGCGTGGCTGGGACGCCCTGCACGCGAACGCCACCACCCCATGTCCCAAGCCCAAGGCCACAGAGCTTGGTGTTACTTTTCACTGAGATACTTAAGGGGGAACATTGCCCTCCGCTGGTTCTCGGCTCTAGGTGCCCACCCCTTTCCTGATCACCAGCTTGTCACCCTTATGATTTTTCACCTCCCAGCGCCTCCCTCTGTCTTTTCATCCGTAAAAAAAATGAGATCAAAATCTTGCCCTGCCTATCTGCCAGTGCAGGGTGGGGGGAGGATGAGAACATGACCTTGGAAGTTATAAAGCATTGTAATATACACACGTGTATTTCTTTTGTGTAAGTATGGAGCAGACGTGTACATTTTTGAGCATGGTAGGTTCAGTTTGAAGCGCAGCATGTGACATTTTGAGCGCTGATCCTGGGACAGGCATGAGTGAACATTTCTCAAGCGTTGTTCAATTTCGTCCTCATGAACCTGTGTCACTCCTGTACCTCTAGCATGGAGCCTGAGAAGGGTAGGCACTCAGCACAGGTTTTTGTCATTGCTGGGGACTTTTCACTTAAGGGGTGTGTGTGCTGTGATTGTCCCCAATTTATACATGAGGAGACAGGTGCAAAGGTAAAGCAACGCTCCCAGGGCCCTGGCCTTTCCCTCTGGACTCAGCATCCCCAACCATTTACCCTATTCATCCCAAGTATTTCCCCAGCACTGATGGAAAGCATTCTTGGTGGGGAGTGGGCTTCCTTGGTAGAGGAATTGTGCCTTCTGTGATGGGTGTTCCTGGTAAGGCCCTGAGGGAGAGGGAGGAATTTTCTAGGTGCTTCCATGAAGAACAGCTAACCTTCGAGATCTGTGTGCCAGACACGGTTTTCAGCTCTTTACACAAAGGCAAGCTTAATTCTCCAATGGTCATGAGCTCAGCCCAATTGCTATCCCATTCTTTAGGTTTGAAAAACTGAGGTATAAGGAAGTGAAGTAAATTGCT